CCTACATGACCTGACTATATTCCTAAAGTCAAATATAACAAAGCTGGAGAGGGACTTTTTACAACTGCATGAACAAACGGGATAATGGCTTCAAATTGAGAGAGGGCAGGTTTCAATTAGATATTCGGAAGGAATTCTCCACTATCTTTTCAGCCAGGCCGGCACCTTCCCCACTGGCTCACCTTACGGCCCACAGGGACAGCTGCTCCTGTGCCTTCAATACCTCCTTCTTGAAGTATGTCCCTCCCTCCTGGACCCTTTTTTTTTTTCCCAAGGGCTGTTTTCCAGGGTACACTCTGAACCACTTTTGAGCAGGCTGAAGTCTGCTCTTTGGAAGTCTAGGGGAGAAGTTTTTTTGATGGCCCTTCTTGCATCCCTGAGTATTAAAAACTCTGTAATTTCATGCTCCTATCCTACACCTTGACTGTCAGACCCATGGCACTGGGGTGATGCATTCCAGCAGCAGCTCCAAATGCAATGAATTACTGCAGGGAAGGAGTTCCTGCTCCTAGAAACCATAGAGGGGTTCTGGAGCTCCTTTCCTTGTGTACATCAACATGTCTCAAGTGGCTTTTATATCTGGGGTGTGTTTTTTTGATTTTACATATCCAAATGTGCTTTTTTATTGCTTATTTCATGCTGTGTTTTTATGTCACCCAACAGTAACAATTAGACTCTTATCTGCCCTATAGAACAGCTGCAGCACTTCAGAAATACTCAGACATGCCTTGCTGTATTGCTTCTTAAAAAAATAATAGTATAATACAGTAGCCAAGGCCCATAATTCAGAGTAGAGTCTTACCTAGCCAGTCACCTCCAGCAAGGTGTCCTGGAACAGCTGCTGGCTCAGGCTAAGGGTGAAGATTGGGAATCAAGTGGGAGGGAGGAAATTCTGGTTTCTGATACAGAAGATAAGGGAGTGTTTTTAATTAGTACTGACTGAAATGGCCTTAAAAGTTGTTAATAGAGAGGAGGTTGCACTAAGACTGCCTCTGGCTTTGCCCCAGAGCTTTCCTGTGAGGGGGTGGTGGTGGGGAGGCAGGAGCTGAGCCTTTGTGGAAGCAGTCACTTGCATAGCAGGAAACTGCTGGGATACCTGAGGAGAGAATATGGAGATACTTCGGCTCAACAAATTTCTGCCCTTCAAAACATCATATACATCACAGATACACACACAGAATAACTTGCAGAGCAATAACAGTTTCATTGCTAAAGCAACAGGGGTTTGGCATTTAAAACAGTGCACTCTGGAGGAAGTGCAGACAAGTCCTTACTTTGTGTCCTTTCTCTCGTACAGTGATTTCATTTACAGCAAAGTTGGACTAGTTAAAAACTCAAACCTTCCGGTCTTTTTAAATATATCTAACAATGACATAGTCATTAAAACAATTTTATGAGTAAATTTGCCTTCAAAGCAAATGGAGTGTGGTGGAAAAGTGTAAAATCAATACATGGTCTTGTTTTAGGAGAACATATGAAAGGGGGTAAGAAACCTAAACCTTTCAAGTAAGTTGAGTAGAACTTTAATAGCATTAGATGAGACTGGAGTGCTCATGTACATGTTTTTTTTCCTAATTTCTGTCCTATCAAAACAATTTCTATGGCAAAAATTATTATTTTGGGAACAACTTTAACCCTGTGAAGCATTTGAAATCCTAACCCTTCTGAAGATCCCAGCTTTTACAGTCCCCAAAGGCATGGAAGCTGTAGGTGTTAACAGTTCCCTTTCCCAACAGTGCCAAAATACATCTACGAGGTTCTTTTAAGATACAGAACCCCAAACCCTACTCCCACCTCCCTTCTTTATGGGCACCAGTATGGGCTCAAATAAATAACCTTAAGTTATATCATGAAACTTGTATAGCAACATTTGGAAAGAGAAAGCAGGGACTCCAGAAGGGTAAGTTACTCCTCTCCACGCAGTGACACCTGGAAAGCTCTACGTACCCACCACTGCCTCAAGGGTTATAGCTTTGCAATATGTTATCAAAGGGGAAGGACTGATAGAGCTCATCAGTGTGGCTATCAGTGTTATAGTACTGGCTGTCTGCCATGCTATTCTGGTGGTTGGCGGAGAGTCTTGGTTCACTCAGAACCTCTTGGTCTATAAAGCCGTAAACAGGATCAGCTAAGGTCGTGGCCGCGGCCCCGGGGGGCAGCTGCAGCTGCTGCCTGTGAGTGCCTGTGCTGAGCACAGGGTTGTACTTGTCGAAGCTGATGCTGGTGCAATTCATGTCGTCGGTGTCCATGCTGACGCTGCTGGAGCCACCGGCAGGATGAGCCACGTGCACACTGCTGATGCTGGACACGCTCTGCAGGTCTGCGCTCGACACCACCACTGCTCCCAGCCCGTTGGTGCTGCTGAAATTCCGGTAGAAGCCAGAATCCTTCTCATCAGGCCAGTTCAGAGGGCTGTCATGGAAGGCTGGGAGAGAGCTGCTACCCGGAGCAGCTGGCTGAGGCACATCTGTGGTGAAGCTGTTCTGTGGGTGTGCTCCAAGCAGACTGCTGGACGAGGGGGTGGTGCTCTGCAGCCAGCACGAGGACAGCACATCCTGCTTCCCTGGGCCCACCTGTGCAGGTGGGTGGGCAAGCTGGCTGCACGTGTGGTAGATCTGACTAGTGCTGGCCAGTGTTCCCAACCCTGGCATCATCAGTGA